AAACACTGATAACGTTAGTTAAGAATAAAGTTATGCAAACTTCAGAAGTACTTAGAGAATGTTTCCATGACAAAAAAGGTAAGTATTAGAGCCAGTATTGTAGTGCAGTGGGTTAAGCTGCACTTGTGATACCAGCATCCCATGTGAGTACCAGTTCAAGTCCCAGGTACTCCGCTTCTTACATCGCTCCCTGCATAAGCACCTGGGAAAGCAGTGGAAGATGGGTCCCTTCCACCTGTGTGGGAAACCCAACTGGAGTTCCAGGCCTGGCCCAACCCAACCATTGCAGCCATTTCAGGCATGAACCAGCAGATGGAAGATCTCTCTCCCTCTCTCTCTATAACTTTGCCTTTCAAATACATAAAATAGATCTTTTTAAAACCAGGTAGAATTTTTGCTTTAATAATTTCATAATGTATATATATATATATATAAACAGCACATTGTACCTATAAACAATGACTATTTCTCATTTAATAATAAAACAAAATAAATTTTTAAATATTAAAGATCTAGGCAAGATCTATATGATGAAAACACTGGTAAAAGTAATCAAATATTACTCTTGTATAATAAACATACCATGTTCAATGACTGAAAGACTTACTGTTAAGATCTTGATTTTCTAAACTGATCTAGATAGTCAACACAATTCCAATCAAAATTCCAACAGATGTTTTGGTCCACAAATTGATAATTATGTTCCACAGGCAAGAAACTAAAAACCACAATTCACTTCAGAAGAGAAAAACCAAGTAACAGGACTCATAATACCTGGTTTCCAGACTTATCATGAAGCTACAATAAGCAGAAAAATGTGTTATTTAAGAAAGATAGAAATATACATCAGTATGGAGTGTGCAGAAGAGCATGGAGATACAAGAAATTGACCCACTCGTGCATCTTCCATTGGTTTGCACCTTCCAAAGATACAATGAAAATTCAGTGGAACAAATGAAAAGACTGAATTTCCATATGCAAAAAAAGCAAACTTCGCTCTACACCACACACTCAACAATTAGCTCAAATGCATCCTAGATCTGAACATTTGGAGGAGTGCTAAAAGCTTCCCCAATCCCAGAGAAGATGCAAGGAGCACGTGGAGAATGATGGAAGTGGGGAGTTGTTGAGTTGTATCTACCAAAGCCAGTCGAAATCGGCACAGAACTGGTTTCTGCAGCTTTGGCTACAGTAAAAGGTACCTGAAAGAACCTCAAACGGTGAACTGGAAATGGGTGGTCCTCAAGACGTGTGCATTTTCTGCCAAGGGTTAAAAGACAGTTTCGTTCAACTGGAAGTTGAACCTGCCCTTTAGATTCTTAGGTAACACACACACACGCTGGTGGAGGGGTGGTAATTCCGCCTCGGGTAAAGGATATTGACCACCAAGAGAAAGTAAAGCACACATGGGCACACAAGGGCAGCAGGAAGAACCATGCCTGAAATTCGGGGGAATTCTTTGGATGTCACTCAGTAGTTCCATTTCCATTAATGAAACCTACAAGAATCCAGTAAAGGCAAGACCAGTGAAGATGCACATTCTCTGGGAATTAGAATTTCCTATGAGCCATTATGTAAAGATCCTCACCAGCCAATCATGGTTAATGGAAAGATGAACAAGAAATGGGTACTGGAATTATAATTGCCACACATGACTTCATGATCAGTTGCAGGCACACGAAGCAATTGACATTAGGAGGTAATAGGACACGTAGGGAGAACAGAATGGATGACGGCAGTGGACGATACTTCTGAGGTTTCCCTAGAGAGCTAAGGATATGAAAGGCAGTTAACAGAATGAGAACCTGGGTTTCTCTTTTAATCACGGCCTGAGGCAGAATGTGCAGAATCTGGGAGATTCATCATTTCTCTTGTTCCTGTCCTGCCTGGATTTCTATGTATGATTGATTCAGGAGCGGACTCTTGTTATCAGTTTTTCTCTCTGCTGGGGACTGCCTACAGAGAAGTGGGTTATAGTGAGAGAGCCTGACATTTGGACATCTTTCCAAGCATGGATGTGTCTTTCCTGATGGTACTCCACTCACTGATCACTCATGGCTTCTTCATGTCCATAGGACAAAGCCTAAATTCTTACATGGCTATGGTCTACCTTTTATGTTACATTCTCTTAACAGGCTGGTTAAGCACCCATCACAAACTTCTCTCCATCCCCACCTTTCCCCAAGGTGTAGTCGGGTATGACCCAGGACTGTGCTCACTGCTGTGGGACTCTGGAGAGTCCTGTCCTGGTGAGGTCCTGGGCAATTACTTTGTCCCTAATGAGTTACTCCAGGATGTGGCCTCCTCTGGGATGCAGGGCCCTTTAGGCCCAGGGATGGGGAGAACAAGTATGTAAGAAGCAGCAACGCAGACACTGATCATGAGAACAAAGGCTGTCCCCTCTGATGCCTGTCGTGAGCAAAGGGAAGCAGATCTGGAGCCCCAGCCCTGAGCCCCCAGCCCTGAGCCACCTTTAGAACCCTGGGTAAGTTGGACAGGATGGTGAATGAGCTGGCAGTGCCTCAGTGTCCCTCCTTAGTTTCCAGGTTGTATGAATCACTTTTCAGCTGTGATAACGTTCCTCTTCTCCATCTCTCTGCCTCCTACAACTGTGCCACACTGTAGAAATACTTTAAGTAATCTTCTCCTAGTACAATTTTTTAAATGATAGTCACCATTATTCTCACTTACTGTACAATGTATTTTCAGTGAGCATATCATTTCAACATAATAACTCTGTAAAGCAGTCTCTTTTAAACATATTGATTTATTTAATTGAAAGATATTTGCAGAGATAGAAGAGACACAGAGACAGAGAGAGATCTTCCATCTGCTGGCTCATTCCCCAAATAGCTGCAATGGCCAGGGCTCAGCCAAACTGAAGTCAGGAGCAAGAAGCTTGATCCAGGTTTCCCACATGGGTGCAGGGGCCCAACAACTTGGGCCATCTTCCACTGTTCCCAGACACATTAGCAAGGAGCTGGCTTCAACGTGGAGCAGCTGAGAAAACTGAACACCAAAATGAACACCTGTTCTTTCCTGACTGTCCCACTTTGAATGAAATAAATCTTTAAAAAAAAGGCTCTTCCCACACATGTGGATGGATGCTTCTCCTCTGCTTTCCTAATCAGCTTTGAGAAAAAACGGAATGTGTTAGTGATCCCCAGAAAATACAGCAGAAGTAACAGTGTGTGCGTGTACACTCAAAAAGTTGTAGGAAAACAGAAAAATGATTTTATTTTGGTGTAAAAAATTTTAATACATAAACATGTATATTATGAAAAGGGGCATGTATTCCAAAAGGTTTTACACCAGAATTAATTCATGCTGTTAGTTCCATATCTCCATGAACTTTTTCAAGTACACTCATATACACATGCACACACATGACTAATTTTAAGGAACTATTTCACATGATTATAGGAGCTGATAAATCTGATATCATTAGGGTAGGTTGGCAAGTGAAGACCCTGGGGAGACCTGATGTTTTAGCCTTGAGTTCAAAGCACTCTGGAGACAGAAACTGTCTTCTTCAGGGGACATCAGACTTTTCTCTTAAAATCTATTGATTTCGGCCGGCGCCGCGGCTCACTAGGCTAATCCTCCGCCTAGCGGCGCCGGCACACCGGGTTCTAGTCCCGGTCAAAATATCTTCACAATACCTACATCAAGTATTTTAGAAAAAACTTGTTACCAAGACCTAGCCACATTATTTTTTTGACAGGCAGAGTGGACAGTGAGAGACAGACAGAGAGAAAGGTCTTCCTTTGCCGTTGGTTCACCCTCCAATGGCCGCCACGGCCGGTGCACCGTGGCCGGCGCACCACACTGATCCAAAGCCAGGAGCCAGGTGCTTCTCCTGGTCTCCCATGTGGGTGCAGGGCCCAGGGACTTGGGCCATCCTCCACTGCACTCCCGGGCCACAGCAGAGAGCTGGCCTGGAAGAGGAGCAACCAGGACAGAAACCGGTGCCCCAACCAGGACTAGAACCCGGTGTGCCGGTGCCACAGGCGGAGGATTAGCCTATTGAGCCACGGTGCCGGCTGCCAAGACCTAGCCACATTGACATGTAAAATTATTACATAGGATATGGAACCCTGAAGAAGATCTCAAGTGAACAATTCAGGATAGAAACCATATTTCTTCCTTTAATTCCTCCCATAATTTATTAAATTCTCATATTTATTTTTTCTACATCAAAGTCCATGACATCATGTCCATTTCAGCATCAAGATGTATGGACTCGGTCAACTGTATTGTTAAAAATAGTATATCTGGGCCAGCACCGCGGCTCACTAGGCTAATCCTCCGCCTTGTGGCACTGGCACACCGGGTTCTAGTCCCGGTCGGGGCGCCGGATTCTGTCCCGGTTGCCCTTCTTCCAGGCCAGCTCTCTGCTGTGGCCAGGGAGTGCAGTGGAGGATGGCCCAAGTGCTTGGGCCCTGCACCCACATGGGAGACCAGGATAAGTACCTGGCTCCTGCCATCGGATCAGTGTGGTGCGCCAGCTGCAGTGCACTGGCCACGGCAGCCATTGGAGGGTGAACCAACGGCAAAGGGAGACCTTTCTCTCTGTCTCTCTCTCTCACTGTCCACTCTGCCTGTAAAAAAAATAGTATATCTGAGGTTCCCTAATATTTTGTGATACAAAATTGTATCTTAAACTTGGATAGATTGCCAAAAATTCATGCCAAATAGTTAAGGCTAGAGATTTTTAATTTTGAGATGATTTAATAAATGTAGTTATTTTAACATAATGGATTTTGCTCCTTTAAAGTTGAAGGAATCCACATCTCAGCCTGAAGAAAAGTGAATGGACATTGTGAAACATCAGGCACTGCACCAAATGCTGGCCATGCCCCAGTCATCAGGGAAGTCGACTAAACGAGTAATCAAGGGCCTTGACCGCTGCAGGGTGAGTTCAGGATGGGATGGAAGCATAGTAGCAGGCCTCACCAAGTCTGGAGACACAGAAAGGTTTAGTTGAGCAAGGACAGGAAATATACCTGAAGGATGAGCAGGTGAGGGAGGGTGCAAAAGGAATGAAGTGGTAGGCAGGAGGGACAACAAGACGAGGGTGTTTCAGTCCAGCATTGCTGGAGGGTGGGATGCAGGGGTCATTGTGGGGCAAGATGAGAGTGTGCAGCTAGGCAAGGGCGAGGTTATGAAGCAATGTTTGTATCCTTGAAAGGAGTTTTGCCTTTATTTTATGAGGAATGAGAATCTCCCAGGCCATTCATCAAAAGAGAGATGATCCTGGGGCTGACTTCATGATGCAGAGGGTTAAGCTGCCACTTGCAATGCTGGCATCTCATATCTGAGTGCTGGATCAAGACTCTATTTCTTCATTTGCAATCCTGCTTCCTGCTAATGTGCCTGGGAGTCAGCAGATGATGATTCAAGTACTTGGGCCCCTGCCACCCATGTGGGAGACCCAGCTGCAGTCCCAGGCCCCAAGCTTTTGGTTGACCCACTCCCAGTCATTGCAGCCATTTGGAGAGTAAACCAGCAGATGGAAGATCTCTCTCTCTCTCTCTGCCTTTCAAATAAAATAAATTATCTTAAAAAGATAGATGGGCCAGTGCCGCGGCTCAATAGGCTAATCCTCCGCCTGTGGCAACGGCACACTGGATTCTAGTCCCAGTTGTTCCTCTTCCAGTCCAGCTCTCTGCTGTGGCCCGGGAGGGCAGTGGAGGATGGCCCAAGTGCTTGGGCCCTGCACCTGCATGGGAGACCAGGAGAAGCACCTGGCTCCTGGCTTCGGATCAGCGCAGTGCACAGGCCGCAGTGGCCCTTGGAGGGTGAACCAACGGTAAAGGAAGACCTTTCTCTCTGTCTGTCTGTCTCTCACTGTCCACTCTGCCTGTCCAAAAAAAAAAGAGAGAGAGAGAGAGATGATAAGATTTTCATTTATGTTGAGGGAAATAAGCTGGACACACACACAAAAATACTGCGTGTTCTCCCTTTTATGTAGAAGCTAAAATTAAAAAAAAAAATAAAAAATATAAGCCAAAAAGAGAAATGCCTGTTTATCAGTATTGCTGCAAATACAGTTTTGCAAAACTTTGTTTTATATCTTTGTGAAACCACTGGTTAAGCTACTATAGTTTTAATAATCTGTGATTATTTTAAAATTCACTGGATATGGGGGAAATAGTCATCTTTTCATTTGATTCTTGTTTATAGCCATTGCCTACATGCCTGCTGAGCTAGGGTCTTTTCACTGTATTCGCTGGATCATTAGGTCTTTGACTATGATGTAATTTTAAAATAAAATATCTCAAAAAATAAAGACAGACAGCAAGGTAGAGAAACAGAGAGGGCAGAAGAGAAATGTTATATTCTTAGAACTGTATGTATGAACTGTATTGAATCTTTCCTCTTTTTTTAATAACACATTAACATTAGAATTGATGATAATTGTGTTGTAGTAATTTACATGCATTTGCTGTGGCCCTAACAATCTATTAATAAAGCCCTCTAAAATGAAAATAAATAAAAAATTTAAAAATCCATAGGAAAAATGTTTTATCTTAGAATGCCACAATGTGAATGAAGCATCTTTAAGGAGAAGGATATTAAGGCAGAAGACAAGAAGAGCAGAGAGGATTTTTTATAGTCCAAGTAAGGTAAGATCTGTTTGGTCTAAGATTGTGGTGTTGGGTTGAGGAGTCAATGAATCAGAGTGAGATGAAGTATGAAATCTATGACAGCTATATTGGAACTGATGGTGAGAGAAGGAATGAACGAGAAAAAGCTCACATATTTCTGATCCTAGATTCCTTTCACTGAAATATGAGAGAGTGGAGGAGGAGGTTGGGAGAGGGAAAAGTTGAGATCATGAGTTTCATTTGGGATCTCGAGCTTATGGTGCCCATGAGCCATCCATAGAAAATAATGGGATAGAGTTCTCTGTGTCAGAAAGATGTCTGCACCTGATATTTAAATAGTAATCTAAGACACTGAGTAGAAGGATTTTTCTTGGGAGTATTCATACAATTAAAAGAAAAAAAGGCTTGACGAACTTTAACAAGTAAGAAAGTGACATGGGGCTGGCACCGTGGCACAGTGGGTTAATATTCTGATTGCGGCACCAGTATCCCATGTGGGCGCCAGTTCTAGTCCCAGTTGCTCATCTTTCAATCTGGCTCTCTGCTATGACCTGGGAAGGCAGTAGGGGATGGCCCAAGTGCTTGGGTCCCTGCATCCATGTGGGAGACCCAGAACAGGCTCCTGGATCCTGGATCCTGGCGTCAGATCAGGCGCAGCTCTGGCTGTTGTGGCCATTTGGGAGTGAACCATGGATGGAAGCCCCTACACTCTGTCTCTCCCTCTCTCTGTAATTCTACTTCTCAAATAAATAAATAAAATCTTTAAGAAAAAGAAAAAAAGTGACAGAACAGTAGCCAATTAAAGTTACTGAGGATAACCAACCAGGAAGATAAAAGTAATGTATTTCATGCCTCAGAAGAAAATAGAAAAGAATGTTTTAGAAAAGATAGAATGTTGTAATTGTTAATGAGAAGTAAAGAAAGTCACAATTACAAGCCTATTTTTTACATGTAAGATTATTATTAGGAGTTAATATTTAATATGTGCTGGACAATTTGCAGATTCCACATAGTTCATAGATACAACTCTATAAGGATATAATCTGATTATAAAACATTGGAGTGTAGATATTATGTTCATTGTGATGATGGTGAAAAAATAATTTTTTTCAGAATACTTAACAGTCAGCGTACCATAGAAACAATCAATCAAACTTCAACTTTTGATGGACACTACTGCTTCTGCCTAAGGGCTCTAGCAAAACAGAGCATGACTGGAAAGAACCAAACCACTGTCTCAGAGTTCCTCCTCCTAGGCCTGCCCATCCAGCCACAGCACAAAACCCTCTTCTACATCCTGTTCCTGGCCATGTACCTGACCACCATGCTGGGGAACCTCCTCATCATTGTCCTCATTCACCTGGACTCTCATCTCCACACGCCCATGTATTTGTTTCTCAGCAACTTGTCCCTCTCTGACCTCTGCTTCTCCTCTGTCACAATGCCCAAATTGCTGCAGATCATGCAGAGCCAAGTCCCATCCATCCCTTATGCAGGATGCCTGGCCCAAATGTACTTCTACCTGTTTTTTGGAGACCTGGAGAGCTTCCTCCTTGTGGCCATGGCCTACGACCGCTATGTGGCCATCTGCTTCCCCCTGCACTACACCAGCATCATGAGCCCCAAGCTCTGCTTCTGCCTGGCGGCGCTGTCCTGGGTGCTGACCACGTTCCATGCCCTGCTGCACACCCTGCTCATGGCCAGGCTGTCTTTCTGTGCAGATAATGTGATCCCCCACTTTTTCTGTGATATGTCTGCTCTTCTGAAGTTGGCCTGCTCTGACACCCATGTCAATGAGTTGGTGATATTTGTCATGGGTGGACTTGTTATTGTCATCCCCTTCCTACTCATTATCACATCCTATGCAAGGATTGTGTTGTCTATCATCAAGGTTCCTTCTGCGCGGGGCATCCGTAAGGCCTTCTCCACCTGTGGCTCCCACCTGTCTGTGGTGTCGCTGTTCTTTGGCACAATTATTGGTCTCTACCTAATCCCATCAGCCAATAATTCTACTGTGAAGGAGACTGTCACGGCAATGATGTACACTGTGGTGACTCCCATGTTGAACCCCTTCATCTATAGCCTAAGGAACAGAGACATGAAGGGAGCCTTGGGCAGAGTCATTTGTAAAAAGAAAATCCTCTTCTGCCTATGATGGCAGAACTAAAATTTTTACATAATTTATCTCATACATATATACAGATACTAATATTGGAATACTATTCCAGACTCTTTACGTGAATTTCTGTCAAAATGGCACACCACATAATCATTTAATATTAAGAAAGAAAATGTAGCTGAGCAATTTAACTAAGGGAGAGGATCTTCATGACCTGGCTGTCTCTTCCTCTTTATCTTCCTCACCTGGAAAAGCATAGTTTAAAAACTACTGGTTTGCTGGGTTGTGATACAGCAGATTAAGCCAACAACCTGCAGTGCTGGCATCCCATACAGGCACCAGCTTGAGTCCTGGTTGCTCCACTTCTGATCCAGCTCCCGGCTAATGTGCCGGGAAAGCAGTGGAGAAGAGCCCAAATGCAGAGCCCACGGGGGCATCCACATGAGACATCCAGAAGCTGCTCATGGCCCCTGGCTTCAGCCTGGCCCAGTGCTGGCTGTTGCAGCCATTTGGGGAGTGAACAAGTGGATGGAAGATCTCTCTGCCTGCCTGCCTGCCTGCCTCTCTCTCTCTCTCTCTAGCTCTGCCTTTCAAATAAAATAAATCTTTTTTTTAAGAATTACTGTTTTAAATCATCTGCATGTCTTACATTCTTAAATTGTTATAGGACTTTCGTTATTTTATCCAGAACACTTCTTTGATTGTGGCATTTCTAAGTACTTCCATATATTCTTTGCTCAGTACTAAATTAGATCAAGTGTGTTAATTATCCCAACCAACCACTAAATGTCTCCTATAAATACCCCCCAAAAGAAAATTTCACAACTTAAGTACCCTCTACCCCTCCAGATTTATTTTCACATTTACAAAGACTTTCTTGGCCTGGCCTGATGTTCAATATATTTTTTCTAATCCTTTACAACAATGGTGTAGTTTGGGTTTACTTAGAATTAACTAACAGCACAAGAAGATTTAAAATTTTCTCTAGTAATGAGAAAAAAGCTGGTACAAATAAGTTCACTTTTTAAGGATGTCTCTCTTCTATTTGATATTTTGACTTTCACAAAATAACTTTGTTTTTATTCCACCCTCATGACAACTTCAAGGATATTCAGAAGCTACTATCAAGGTAAAATATGCAAAATATGGAGGAGTTCAATGACTGCCCAATCAGTGTGTCAGTTGCTGAGCCTATATAATATCACAAACTATCTGACTCCAGTTTCTTTTCATTCTTTTCCAGTTCAGAAGGAAGATGGGCAACCATTCTTTTTTCAAACAGCTCCATGTATGGCAAAAGTTCCAACCTTAACTTTTTTCCTTTGTCCCACAAGTGAGGGCCTCCAAAGCCATCACCTTCATCCTCTTGTATGTTTTCCTGACCTCCACATCTTGATCTGAAGCCCAGACCTTTCTCCTGAGCTCCCAACTGCCATTTTCATCTGACTAGTGCATATCTCCACTTGAGTTTCCACGGGCAGTTCAATCACATCATGCTCAACATTCAGCTCTTTATGTCCCGTCAAGTGTCCTTAATCCTACATCCTGATTTCTGATGTCACCTTCTACAGGCTTCCTTGATCAACCACTTCTTTACATTTGATTTCATATTTCTTGAAATAATGTACTTTCTATATGGTTGTTAAGGTAACATCAGTTCTGGGGCCGGCGCCGCGGTGTAGTAGGTTAAATCCCTGCCTGCGGTGCTGGCATCTCATTTAGGCACTGGTTCCTGTCCTGGATGCTCCTCTTCTAATCCTGCTCTCTGCTTATGGCCTGGGAAAGAAGTGCTTATGCCTCTGCATCCATGCGGGAGACTCAGAAGAAGTCCCTGGCTCCTGCCTTTAGACTGGCTCAGCTCCGGTCATTGCAGCCATTTGGGGAGTGAACCAGGGAATGAAAGACCCCTCTGTCTGTCTCTCCCTCTCTCTGTAACTCTGTCTCTCAAATAAATAAGTAAATTAAAAAAAAAAAGGTAATGTTGCCAGTGCCGCAGCTCACTAGGCTAATCCTCCGCCTTGCGGCGCCAGCACACCAGGTTCTAGTCTCGGTCGGGGCGCTGGATTCTGTCCTGGTTGCTCCTCTTCCAGGCCAGCTCTCTGCTGAGGCCAGGGAGTGCAGTGGAGGATGGCCCAAGTCCTTGGGCCCTACACCCCATGGGAGACCAGGAAAAGCACCTGGCTCCTGGCTCCTGCCATCGGATCAGCGTGGTGCGCCGGCCGCAGTGCACCAGCTGCAGCGGCCATTGGAGGGTGAACCAACGGCAAAAAGGAAGACCTTTCTCTCTGTCTCTCTCTCACTGTCCACTCTGCCTGTCAAAAAAAAAAAAGGTAATGTCAGTTCTTATAATTGATAAACTCTGGGGGCTGGCGCTGTGGCACAGTGGGTTAACGCCCTGGCCTGAAGCGCTGGCATCCCAAATGAGCGCCAGTTCAAGACCTGGCTGCTCCACTTCCGATCCAGCTCTCTGCTATGGCCTGGGAAAGCAGTAAAAGATGGCCCAAGTCTTTGTTCCCCTGCAACCACGTGGGAGACCGGGGGAGGCTCCTGGCTCTTGGCTTTGGATCGGCGCAGCTCCGGCCGTTGCAGCCAACTGGGGAGTGAACCATCAGATGGAAGACCTCTCTCTCTCTCTGCCTCTCTTCTCTCTGTGTGTAACTCTGACTTTCAAATAAATAAAGAAATCTTTTAAAAATAATGAATAAACTCTGAAATCTCAGTGGCACAATACAAAAGAATTATCAGTTACAAGATAAAATATTAGCCTTTAAATTAGTTTCCTCTATACCAGAAATACAATGGAAACAAACCTCAACACTGAAAAAACGAGCCTGTTCTCAAGGCCAATTAGATCTGATTAGATTAGATTAGATACAAGAAGGGTTAGTGCTGTGATGCAGCAGGTTAAAGCCCTGGTCTGCAGTGCTGGCATCCCATATGGGCACTGCTTTCGATCCCAGCTTCTCCACTTCTAATCCAGCTCCCTACTAATGTGTCTGAGAAAGCAGTGGAGGATGGTCCAAGTCTTTGGGCCCCTGCACCCATGTGGGAGACCTGGAAGAAGCTCCTGGCTCCTGGCTTCAGATTGGCTCAGCTCCAGTCATGCCATTTGGGGGGGTGAACTAGCAGATGGAAGACCTCTCTCTGTCTCTGTCTCTACCTCCCTCTGTACTGTAACAAATTCTTTACTGAGATACATACAAGAATACCACAATGAAAGGAGATATATAATGGCCATGGAAAGGGTGCCTTTTTTTTTTTTTTTTTTTTGACAGGCAGAGTAGACAGTGAGAGACAGAGAGAAAGGTCTTCCTTTTCCGTTGGTTCACTGCCCCTCCACCACCAATGGCTGCTGTGGCCGGCGCCACGCTGCAGCCAGTGCACCACGCTGATCCAAAACCAGGAGCCAGATGCTTCTCCTGGTCTCCCATGCGGGTGCAGGGCCCAAGGACCTGGGCCATCCTCCACTGCACTCCCAGGCCATAGCAGAGAGCTGGACTGGAAGAGGAGCAACTGGGACAGAATCCAGTGCCCTGACCGGGGCTAGAACCCGGGGTGCCGGCGCCTCAGGTGGAGGATTAGCCTATTGAGCCGCAGCGCCAGCCAGGGTGCCTCCTTTTAAACAGATTTTTTGAAGATTAGCCTTGACATAGTAAAATCAGTTTAAAAGTATATAATTTGATGAGTTTTGAAGCTGTAATATTTTAACATCAATTCACATCAAATATATCCCATGAAACCCGAGTCCAATTCCCTATGGAACTGTTTCTGTGCAAACTGACAAGCTGATTCTTAAGTTAAAAGAAAAATGGGTAAAATTTCTAAGAATTATTTGAAAAATAGAACCTGAAAGTTTATTCTTGGTCTGTAAAATATCAATATGTATTTGAAAAAAATCAATATATAGTTGAAATAGTATAATTTATTCAGGAACTGACAAAAATCAAATACAGCGAGAAAATGTAAAGAAATAGTCCTGTGTCTGTGAGGATCTATTTTATGATGAATACAGCATTTCAATCAATGGAGGAAAGAATATACTACTCAAAAATGACACTGAGAAAAATTGGACGTGGAAAAATAGTAAATGAATTCCTTACACTACATGTAAACATAACTTTTTATAAAGATTTATTTCATTTATTTGAAAGAGTTACAGAGAGAGGTAGAGACAGAGAGAGAGGTCTTCCATCCACTGATTCACTCCCTAGACGGCCTCAACAGCCAGAGCTGTGCCAATCCGAAGCCAGGAGCCAGGAGCTTCGGGTCTCCCACGCGGATGCAGGGGCCCAAGGACTTGGGCCATCTTCTGCTTTCCCAGCCACAGCAGAGAGCTGGATAGGAAGAGGAGCATCCAGGACTAGAATCGGCACCCATATGAGATGCCGGCACTTCAGGCCAGGGTTTTAACCTGCTGCACCACAGCGCCAGCCCCAGTAACTTTAATAGCTTCAAAAGCTAAACAGAAACTACAAATATAAAAATAATATAAAATAATTTATGAGTAGGCTTCAAAAGTTTCATGGAAAATGGGATTAAAATATGATACAAATTTTCAATGAGCTTTTTGAAGCCCCCTCATATATCACACAAAACTCAGGAACTATGTTTAAAAAGTCTGACATATTTGAAACTTATCTGGGACAAAAGATAACATAAATGAATCTGAAAGAGACATAACAGAGTATAGTCTAACAGACACAAGATTAAAATTCAGAACATATTAAAGGCCCCCACCAAAATACAGACAGAATAAGCTCTAGAGTTCTATAATACAGTGGGGTGATTATAATTCATAATAATGGGTCCTATGCTATATATATATGTGTGTGTGTGTGTGTGTGTGTGTGTGTGTGTGTGTGTGTTGAGAGATTGGATTATATCCCATAAAAATGTACACACAGGGGCCAATGCTATGGTTTAGTGGGTAAAGCCACCACCTATAGTACCAGCATCCTATATGAGCACCAGTTCAAGTCCTGGCTGCTCCACTTCTCATCCAGCTCCCTGCTGATGCACCTGGAAAAGCATTGGAGGATGGCCCAAGTGCTTGGGCCCCTGTACCTGCATGGGTGACCCAGAAGAAGCTCCTGGCTCCTGGCTCCTGGCTTCAGCTTGGTACAGTTCCGGCTGCTGCGGCCAACTGAGGAGTGAACCAGCATATGGAAGACCTCTCTCTCTCTCTCTGCCTCTCCTCTCTCTGTGTAACTCTTTCAAATAAATAAATAAATCTTTTAAAAAGTACCTATATTATATGTTAATCAAAAATGTTTAAAGATGAAATACTAAGATTATAAAACAGGGGCTGGCGCCTTGGCTCACTTGGTTAAACCTCTGCCTGCGGTGCCAGCATCCCATGTGGGCGCTGGGTTCTAGTCCTGGTTGCTCCTCTTCCAGTCCAGCTCTCTGCTGTGGCCTGGGAGGGCAGTGGAGGATGGCCCAAGTGCTTGGGCCCCTGCACCTGCATGGGAGACCAGGAGGAGGCTCCTGGCTTCGGATAGGTGTGGCGCCATCCGTAGCGGCCATTTGGGGAGTGAACCAATGGAATGAAGACCTTTCTCTCTGTCTCTCTCTCTTTCACTGTCTGTAACTCTACTTGTCAAATAAATAAGTAAATAAACAAAAATTTTTAAAAAAGAATAAAACAAATAGAACAGAAAGTATAAAAAGAATACTAGCAGAGAACTCATAAAGAATAAATGACAGGAAAATATGTTCAGCTTCAATGCCAACTAGGAACAAGCAAACTGAAAAATAGTAAGTGTTCATTGAATGATCATATAATTGGCAAGTTTACAAATAGTTGACCTTCTCCACTAACAGCAAGGACTAGGGACTACATTTTAAAATTTTCTTGAAATATAATTTACATACAAGCAAATACACTCATTTTAAGGTCAGTTCAATGAGTTTTAAAATAAAATAAACTTATAACCCACTCAAAATCTGGAAAAATTCCATCACCTCACAATTTAGTATGAAAATTTACAGGCCAGCGCCACAGCTCAATAGGCTAATCCTCCGCCTGTGGTGCCAGCACACTGGGTTCTAGTCCCAGTCGGGGTGCCAGATTCTGTGCCAGTTGCTCCTCTTCCAGTCCAGCTCTCTGCTGTGGCCTGGGAGTTCAGTGGAGGATGGCCCAAATGCTTGGGCCATGCACCTGCATGGGAGACGAGGAGAAGCACCTGGCTCCTGGTTTCGGATCAGCGTGGTGCACACGCCGCAGTGCGCCAGACGCAGCAGCCACTGGAGGGTGAACCAATGGAAAAAGGAAGACCTTTCTCTCTTTCCCTCTCTCTCACTGTCCACTCTGCCTGTCAAAAAAAAAAAAAAAAGAGAGAGAGAGAGAGAGAGAGAAAGAAAAAAAAAGAAAATTTACAATCAAGATTTCATCTCCTGTCACTAAGCTGATTTTTTCCTATTTGAATTCTATCACTGCAGATCAGAATTTTCTGTTTGAATTGTTTTTAGAGTCATTGTTAGGTTACACAAATTAAAAAAAAAAAAACCAGTGGCAAGCATAGGGCTCTCACTCACTCCTTCCATTCCAGTTATCCTCGATATTAACACCTTGCCTGAGGGTGGGACATTTGTACAAATTATGATCCAGTGCTGACACCTTATTAATTAAAGTCTACAGTTTCCTAAAGGAAACTACGTTTTGTAGATTTGAACGGATGTATAATGATTTGTATTCACCAATTCAGTATCAAAAAGAATAGCTTCACCTCCTAAAAATCCTCCATGGCTTTTAAAGAACTTAGTCTGATTTTTCCAAAGGAGGAAAATTTACTCCCCTACCCTGAAATCCCCTTGGAATTGATATCCTATTTAAAATATAACTTGTTAATGACCTCCTTTTAAATTGTGCAGTATCCAGGTTTTACAGTCTTAAATATGTTTAACTCATCTATGCTCATTTAATTACAATCCAAGTTGCAAATTCAAAAACCTAAAATAGGCACTCGTGAGCATAAAATTCCATTTAGTAACAAGTTAATGTTCAGCCTTTAAAATGATAATATTTCCTTTCCTTCAAAGGATTTCACAAAAATAGAGTAACATCAAAAATGTAAAGTTTATTGATAACTTGCAAAATAGTGAGAAGAGGAAAGAAATACTTCACGAGTGAAGTATCAACTAGTATATAGTTATAAATATTATTTCACTGAATCATGATGTAAATGACAATATATCATTTTTTCTCATTGCAATGATGATTGTCATGAATCTTCACTTTGCAATATTAATCTGTTTTCAAGAAAAATAAAATGAAATGAAAAAAAAAAACCTAACTCTGGCTCCCTCCCCAAGCTTGAGAGAACAACATTTAGGGCCCCAGGGATGACTTAAGTTCTTGGGTAAATACAAACCAAACTATTCTAACAAAACAGGATGAAAGTTCATTCTAGATTCAGGTCCATTAAAAAGGACAATGCAGAGGCAGGCACTGAGGCATAGTAGGCTAAACCTCTGCCTGTAGTGCCAGCATCCCACATGGGTGACAGTTCATGTCCTGGCTGCTCCACTTCCCATCCAGCTCCCTGCTGTGGCCTGGGAAAGCAGTAGAAGTTGGCCCAAGTGCTTGGGCCCTGCACCTGCATGGGAGACTCAGACGAAGGTCCTGGCTCCTGATTTCAGATCCGCCCAGCTCCAGCCTATGAGGCATCTAGGGAGTGAACCAGGGGATGGGAGACCTTTCTCTCTGCTGCTCAAATAAATAATTTTTTTAAAAAAAGCACAATGCAGAGAGGAAAACACAAGATAAAGAGACAGAATGATGTGAGTGCTTTATAGAGAGATAAGTAAAAAAAATTTTTTGAACAACAAATCCAGTTTAGAAAGCAGGAGACTGAGGTGTTTGGGTCTTAGTCCTTGTTGACGTGGGAGGAGGCAGTATCATTTAAATTGCAGTTATTGTTTTAAAAACATAGATGATAAGTAAGTGGTTTAATAACTTGAGACCAAAGTTTCTATTAAAATATCATAAAATACGCCTCTTCAAGGTGACCTGAAATTCACAAAGAGAAAAACTTTCCTAGCTGGTCACTGAGAACCCATTCCTGTGTTCAACTACACACTTCTCCTTTCTTACTTACTGAACAATTACATAGTGTTTCATTTAAACAGTTTCAAAAATAAGTCTGTAATAATATTTAAATATCAATAGATAAAATTATGTAATAATCCCAATCATCATGGGCAGAAGATGATTTTCTTTTTACAAATGACTCTGCCCAGGGCTCCCTTCATGTCTTGGTTCCTCAGGCTGTAGATGAAGGGGTTCAGCATGGGAGTCACCACAGTGTACATCATAACCATGACAGTCTCCTTCACAGTAGAATTATTGGCTGATGGGATTAGGTAGAGACCAATAACTGTCCCATAGAACAAAGACACCACAGACAGGTGGGAGCCACAGGTGGAGAAGGCCTTACGGATGCCCCGCGCAGAAGGAACCTTGATGATGGAAGACACAATCCTTGCATAGGATGTGATAATGAGTAGGAAAGGGATGACGAGAATGATGCCTCCCATGACAAATATCACCAACTCATTGACATGGGTGTCAGAGCAGGCCAACTTCAGAAGAGCAGACATATCACAGAAAAAGTGGGGGATCCTGTTGTCTGCACAGAAAGACAGCCTGGCCATGAGCAGGGTGTGCAGCAGGGCATGGAACGTGGTCAGCACCCAGGACAGCGCCACCAGGCAGAAGCAGAGCTTGGGGCTCATGATGCTGGTGTAGTGCAGGGGGAAGCAGATGGCCACATAGCGGTCGTAGGCCATGGCCACAAGGAGGAAGCTCTCCAGGTCTCCAAAAAACAGGAAGAAGTACATTTGGGCCAGGCAGCCGGAGTACGAGATGGATGGGACTTGGCTCTGCATGATCTGCAGCAATTTGGGCATTGTGACAGAGGAGAAGCAGAGGTCAGAGAGGGACAAGTTGCTGAGAAACAAATACATGGGCGTGTGGAGATGAGAGTCCAGGTGAATGAGGATGATGATGAGGAGGTTCCCTATGACTGTGGTCAGGTACATGGCCAGGAACAGGACGTAGAAGAGGTTTTTGTGCTGTGGCTGGATGGGCAGGCCCAGGAGGAGGAACTCTGAGACAGTGGTTTGGTTCTTTCCTGTCATGTTGTGTGGCTAGTACCTTTAGGAAGAAATAACAGTGTCCCCTAAAGCTTGAATTTAAAAATCAACATATTTCTATGATACATTATTTATTAAATGTTCTGTCAAAATACTTCCTTTCACTCACATCACAATATCGATGTCTTTACTCTTGATGTATGCAATTACAATCCATAGACATAAATGCCTTATTTCTTCATTTCTTTTTACATGTTACAGTATTCCTTTGTTTCTCAAACATTATTATCTATTTGTTCCTGAGACACAAATTTATTAGTTTACTTTCTGACCACTCAAAAACTATGATTGGCTCCTACTCTGTCTGTTTCTTACCTGTTAATTTTCCTCAAGGTTTTCTAAATATAATTTTCTTACAACTTTATGTACACCTACAAGCAGAACCATGCCCTCCACTGTATTAGCTTACCATTTAAACACTAGTGTAGCTATCTATCTAACCCACAGAACTCTGTATCCCACCGCTCCATGATTATCTTCCTGTGGAGGGATCACAGACATCTTAAGCTCAACAGATCCCAAATGAAACTCAAGTCTTACCTAGTCCCTCTCCCAAACTTCTCCTTCTCCATTCTCACAATCAGTGAAAGGAATCCAGTATCAAATCAAAACTCTGTGAGTTTTATTTCATTCATTTCTCCTCTCATCATCAACTCCAATTTAACATAGCCTATAGATTCTACACTTAGCTCTCTGATCATCCACTCTGTATCCAAACACACGATCCTAGGCCAGGCCGACATCTTAACTGAAATGGATGGTTAAAACAGCTGCTCAATTCATCTCCCTGTTTCTCTGCTTCAGGGCTTTTCCCCTTCAACAATCTTTTTCTCCCATTGTGGTGTTCTTACATCTTTCTCCTGACTAAGTATTTCAGAGGATTCTCATTGCTCTTAAGATAACGGCAAAATTCCTTTCACGGGCAGGAGTGGTGCTCTAGGACCTGACTCTTGCCGACCTCCACACTATCATCTGACCCCACTCTCCAGCAGTGATGGACTTAAAAGTGATCATTTCTTGCCTCCAGCATTTTGCACCTGCTGTTCCTCCTAACTAGCATCTATTCCCTCTGCTCCCTTTCTACCTGATTTACCCCCAGTTATTCTTCTATGTAGATGACATTTACTCAGCTAAACCTTTCATGTCTCACCAGACTTCTTAAGATTTGCTCCTATGTTACCACTGTTCCCAGTACTCATCCCATAGCACTCACGTCCTAGATCACTAGTTTAATCTGACTTCCCCCCAGACTGCAAGCTCCGTGTAGGAAGGCCATGCCATGCCTGCAGTAGAGCTGGCAGCTGGCATGGTACCCAGATAGGACCTATGTTTCATTACTTACTTATATCATTTTCCTTCAAGTTGAGACATACTTATGAATTCCTCAGTCTTCAAAGGCTACAAACTCTCATTAAAGTTAGAATTAACAGTCCTACTAAATCCTCCAGAACTAAAACCAGATTTAACCATTTGGGGCTAAATTTAGACTATTACTAGGTAGATGTAATTTTGTACCCACAGAAAACATGAGGGTACCTCAGTTATACCATTCATTTCACCAATGCAGATGACTCATTCTAAGCATCCTAATGTTTCTACTGCACACATCATTGGCATTGGCGTGGGAAAAAACAAATACAATTGTGGGCTCGGCATTGTGGTGCAGTGAGTTAAGGCACTGCCTGGGACTTCAGCATCCCAAATGGGAGCATCAGTTCAAGTCCCAGCTGCTCTGCTTCGATACAGCTCCTGCTACTGTGCCTTGGAAGGCAACAGGAGATGACCCAAGTGCTTGGGCCCTTGCCCCCCACATGGTAATGCCACATGGAGTTCTTGGCTCCTGGCTTTGACCTGACCCAGATCTGGCTGCTGTAGCCATTTAGGGAGTGAACCATCATATATAAAATCTCTCTCTCTCTCTCTCTCTCTCTCTCTCTCTCTCTGTGTGTGTGAGAGAGAGACACTTTGCCTTTGAAATAAGTAAATAGTTTTTAAAATAAATATGGTAATTTTAGAAATTATTGGAGAAACAGAAAGATAAATGATCATTTCTACCCTCAAGCTCTAAACTGAGTTCTATCTAAGATGTCCAAAGCCCATTGTAATGGTTAATTTAATGTATCAATATGGGTAGGTCCTTGTACCTTGTTTTAGACAAATACCAGTCCAGATGTTACTATGAAGGTATTTTGAAACATGATAAACATTTAAATGAGCAGACTGAGTAAAGCATATTAGCATACATAATGTGGTGAACCTCATAGAATATGTTGAAAGCCTAAGGAGAAAAAGCAGAGGTCCCTTGAAGAACAAAGAATTCTGCCTCCAGACTGCCTTTGGATGCAAGACTAAGGCTGTAACATCAACTTTTCCCTGGATTTCCAGCCTCCTGACCTGCCCTGCATATTCTAGACTTTGCAGTTCCAACAACTGCATGAGATAGAATTCCTGTGCATAAATCTCCCCCACTTGCTCTTGTTCTATCATCTATTATCTATCTACCTACCTATCTCTATCTATCTATCAATCACCCATCTATATGATATGGTTCTGACTTCTGGAGAATGCTGACTTAAATACTGCCCTTTTTGTATCAAAGCTGACTGAGAAATCAGAGGAGGATCATTAAGAGATGTTGGAATATCCTTCAATGAAAATATGTAACTGGTCTCACCTGCTGGGATCTTCATCCTCCTGACAGTCCTTAAGCTGCACTGACAGTTTTACAGTTGGACATTATGTTATGGAATTACACTGGGAAGAAACATTAGGGGAAATCATTCACCAGTTTTCTCAAAAGTAACTGAGTAAAGTAGTCAGACCCAACCTGGTGTCAAAAGTCTAACTAGGAATCACAGACCAGAGATATCCCTTGCAGGTGCTACCACTGATGGTGAAATTAGCTTCACTACCTTCCTCTCCTACACTGGACAAAAGAATAACCTAGGATAGAACTTCTAAAGTGTAATGTCTGTGAAAACCCGCCAGGCATTCTGTAACAATGCTGATTCTCATTCTCTAGTTCAGATTGAAGATTTTTTTTTTATTTTTATTTTTTGACAGGCAGAGTGGACAGTGAGAGAGAGAGACAGAGAGAAAGGTCTTCCTTTGCCGTTGGTTCACCCTCCAATGGCCGCCGCGGCCGGCGCGCTGCGGCCGGCACACCGCGCTGATCCGATGGCAGGAGCCAGGAGCCAGGTGCTTTTCCTGGTCTCCCATGGGGTGCAGGGCCCAAGCACTTGGGCCATCCTCCTCTGCACTGCCTGGCCACAGCAGAGAGCTGGCCTGGAAGAGGGGCAACCGGGACAGAATCCGGCGCCCCGACCGGGACTAGAACCTGGTGTGCCGGCGCCGCTAGGCGGAGGATTAGCCTAGTGAGCCGATTGCAGATTTTAAGTGAAGACCCAGAGGATGGCAATGCTGCGGTCCATGGACTGCACTTGAGGAGTAAGGTCATACATTGCCTTTAAATTACAATACTGCGTTTTCCCCAGAGCAGTTTAACTACAATTTCTGAATGGAAGTCTGTTCAATGTTTCTTAAAACTATAGATTATTTTTAAATAAAACAAGACTTAATAGCTACTGCATTGAAGCCTACCTCACAGAACCATCGTTGCACTGAAATGATGCAATCCTGTAAGAACACATTGCACAGGAAGTTTTACGTAGGATGATATCTCTAAAACAGTGTAACTGGCCGACCTTAGTCAAAATACTTCCAGATTGCTGGGAAGTCTTGGCAGTCAGAGAAGTGGAGCAGAGGAAAGCTAATCATATCTAAAGAACTATCCAGCAGATCATACAACTCGGAAAACCAAAACCCACAGGTTGGATGGACACTAAGGCCCATTCCCCCTCCTGCCCAACTTACCCAGGCTGTTTGAGGGGGACTCCAGGGCCTGATCCATAATTCTACTCTACTTTATTCATTATGGGCATGTGATGTGACAGCCTCTGTGGTCACCACCAATGTCTGCACCATCCTCTTACATCTCTCGTTCCACTCATCTTAGGCCTAAGGGGACTTGCATCCTGGAGGAGTCCAGATCCAGGAGGAATTCATTAAAGACAAAGGAGCTGCCTGGGACCTCTCTGGGACAGATAGTCTGAGTCCTTCAGGGGAAACTGATTACAGCCACTGGTCGCACCTGACTACTTGGAAGAAGGTGGGGTGGGGAGAAACTTGTCATGGATGCTTGATCATTTCCTGTTTACACCTGGAGGCTAGTCCCGCGTGGCTGCAGCCTACATTTTATGGGTGAAGAAAAATGGTTGGAGAAGCCACAAAGTTAATCAGACTGAGAATGTTCTAAAATATCTCAAGAGTGTCAGAGTTTACACAAGAAGCTTTCAGTGGGCTTTAAGCCAAATACCACCCTGAAAGACACATACTTTGGAAAGATTTCCAGGAGGCAATCTCTCACTAAAACTCAATTCCCCAAAAACACAGCACAGGCGAGGTAAACCCGCCACTAACAGGAGTCAGACTTCTGTGGCCCAACCACATGCATATCTACAGAAAGGACAGAAATAAGAGAAAAGATGAACTCTCCAAGATCCCGCCCGATTCTTCATTAAGTCAAGACGGAAACACACACCCATTTTCCCAAGGGCCCTCTGCACGTCCCCTTCTCTCTGAGGAACTGGATTGTCTGCCTCTGGTGCACATAAGGCAGAATCTTCTTAACACAAGTGCGTGGATTGTTAATACCTCCATGAGTCTGAAAGGACCCCAGGTTCCTCTGCAGCTGTTTTCTAGCATTCGCCAGCCCCTGGATCTGGACTGATTGGAATATTTCATTTCCTCCCTGTGCCTCTGGCCCTCCCACCTCTCCTTCCTGCCTTCTACCACTCTTGGATGAATGGGTTTTGCAATTCTAGTGGTTGTGTTTTGTGCATTTGTTGTTGTTGTTTTTCTGTGAAACACATGCACTGGATGTGGGAGATAAAGGAAAACCTCAGTTGTTCCTGGTCACTCCCTTTATAACAATTACTATTTTGTTTCCTGTAACTCAGGGTAGGTTTTGTCTGTCCCGCTCCACTGGGATAAACGGACAACTAGCCTTAGAGATGGGAGGGGAGGAAGAAAACCCCACAGCCAGATCTGTGGATTTCTGAGGAGTGGGTTTTTTCCTCCCCTTGAAGTGGATAAAACTTTTTTCACTGTTACATTAAAGTTCCCCAGATGTGGGGAAGTGCCAGTTATAGGCAAGTGCCAGCACAACACAGAAGACTC